AAGGTTGAAAAGGAGCAAGAGGAAAGGATGTGACCAGAGGAATTTAGGTTTTATTTACACGATATTCTTCACTTATTAATTTGACGACGTTCCTTTCAGGTCACCGCAAAAGCTCGGGAGTTGAAAATTAGAAATGAAGGAACTCTGCCCATATTTAGTTATCGTAGATACAGATTGCTCCACAAAAGGTGCAATTTCTATGCATAGGACGCTTTCTATATAGAAATCCTGTTAAATTTATAGAAATTCGTAGTGACGAAAGAAGTTCAATTAATGCACATTAAGACGCTTGCTTGGATTCTTTAATCTACACCAGCAGCAATGCAGCAACAGATGGAAATGACATTTTTCATGTAATCAACAACCTATTTCAAGAAAAATTCAAGATTTAAATTCAGATTTGATAATCAGATTTGGGTCTACATTTTCATTGTAATCGCACTGATTATGATTTTATTAAGAGCTGAGATAGAGCTTTTTTGGTCCAAGGGAGGAATTTGAAAGATGCTCACATTTAGGAAATTGTTTTCCGGGCCACTTTATCATATGTTTTAATCGCTATATATTGCTGAAAATGTTGTAAAGTGACGAAGCAATAATTTGCATCTTTTCTAATCTCCTCTTTTTTCATGTTGTTGGCAAAAAAACAGCTCAGAGATGTTACTACAGGAGAAAATGTGAGGATTGTAATTAATCCTAAATTCCCCAGAAGTGCACGTGCTGTTAGTAAAGGTGTTTTTATGTTAGATTTCGCTTGAACATCTTACCACAGTAACATCCGAACGACGACGTTTCTTACGAACGCTCTAGAATTTTAAGGTGCAGTCTACGGCCGAAGCGATAGAATATTAGTGTTGCCAAGTTATCACATTGAACAACAGAAACTGATGCTGCTATGCAGTCATTCATAGCGCCAAAATCCCATATCACTTACCTTGATGAGGCCCGACTTCTGTTTTGAACCTTTTTTCTTCTGAGCTTGCATGAACTCGTTCAAAAATCCTCTAAAAGTTCCGAATATGATGCAGACTTGTAGTGACGGTAAAATATACCTGAAAGCATTGACGCCCAGCGTCGTGGGAAATGACACCTTCTCTTCTTTGCACACTTTGGTAAGCACTCCTTCAAATGTCGTGATCAGATCACGATATTTCAAAACTGTTCGCTCCTCCTGAAAGCATTTCCCTTGAGATTCACTCAAGTTGATAAAAATGTATTATGGAAATTAGAGGACTTATTT